CTCCTCTGCTTTCACTTGCAGGTCCTGTATCCAGCCTCCGTGTGGGGGGGGGGGTTCGTTATTATCGTCAATAGCTGTAGCTTTGGTCGAGATAAAACTTCAGCATTCCAAAACTCTTGGTTTTGTTTATGAGATGGTGTAGCAAGAACAGATAAAGTGGAAGGGAGGGGGCGTTATTTAAAGGTTTGCTATTTTGGACAAAGGGCTGCTCATCACAGGGAGAGGGCTGCAACAGCTGATAGTCTGACAATGTGGCAATTGTATGCGACGAAAGACTGACATCTACTGGTGAACCCAGAGCATTGCAATAACCGATGTCTCACTTTAAAGGAGGACTGCAGCCTGTAATGCTTTACAGGTGTTTTTCACATATACACATTTATTTTAGACATTTTCTGTTGCTGCATCTTTTCACAGCTTTCATATCAAATGAAAAGAGTGGAGAGCGATTAAGAGAATTCGTCCTCCTTTTTTAACTACTGGTAGTTGGTAACTTAATTTGAGTGGAAGACCTTCAAACAGACAAGTGATAGTCTCCATCTTGTCCTATGTTTAAAAAAATACAAAACTTAAAAATAGCTTCCTTTGAATCAAAGCTTTAAACATACTTTTATCATACTTCATTATGTTTTCTTATTATTGTGATGGGGGGTCATGCTTAAATTTCTTCAGGTTTAGTGTTTTTTTCTTTTATGACTGTTCTTGTTATTTATGTGTGTGTGTGTAATGTGAGTAGTGCTGTACAAATGATCATATGATGATTAAGATGATGATGATGATAATTTATGCCATTTTCCCATCTTCTAGGAGACCGGAAGAAGAACAAGCGAAGAGAACGGAGAAATCGCAAAGATAAGGAGAACAACGAGGGGCGACGAGAGAGGAAGAGAGAAAGGGAGCGAGAGAGGGAGAGACAGCCAGGTGAACGTGAAGACTCTGATAACAGGAACAAAACAGAGCACAGGCACCGCAGAGGCCACGACACAACACCAATCTCCCCCAAAGAAGGCCTTTTACAGTAGTGCTCTGATGCCTCCCCACCTTCCTCTTGTTCTCCTCCCATTCTTCATCCTCCCAAAAACTCCCCCTCCCTCACCCATCGTTTGCCCACCTCGCCCCCTCTCTGCAGGGGTGTTGCTGCTACCTGTATGATTTGAAAATACTGTTCTTGCACAAACGTGCTGGGGCACATTCAGCCACAAGGCTTGGGCCACTCTGGACTTTAGAAAAAAGGTCTTTCTTTTTTTTTTTTTTTTTTTAACCCTGTAGCCTCTGCTCCTTCACTTCCACCACTGCGAGGGACTCTCTAATGAAAAGTGCAGGAGACACTGCTGAGACTGCTGCTGGGACTGAGAAGTGTCTGTGATCATGTGGAGGGCTGGCAGACAGACGGACAGAGACGTTACACTATGTGCTTGTTGATATGGTTATTTAATGGGGCCTTGGTACAACATTGCGCGTCTTGGTTTTTGAATGTAGATTTTGCAACATTATGTATAACAATTGTTTATTATTATTGTTCCTGTTCTTTAGATCTCTTTATTTTATTTGGTGCATTGGATTTGTATGGGAAAAAAAATACAAAAAAAGTGCAGTTTGCTCTTGCCATCTTGTGATATCTTCATAATCACTGCAAACAACAGATGCAGAAGAACCTGAGGAGTATAAGCAACGGAAAACCATTAACATGTGTTTTGTATGTTTTGGAACAAAAGCTAGTTTTATCCAGATATGTGATCTAATCTACCACTGGTTTTTCTTTTTGTGTATATGGAATCTTTGCTCTCAGTAAAGCTCCATGACATGGAACCAAAAAGCACCTGTATGTCAAATAAAACTATAATGGGTTTGTACCTGCGTCTGTTATCCATTTTCTCATCTGACAGACATATTGTTCAGTCCAACTGAATATGATTAAAAACCATATTGGGGTAAAGCTGAGTTCAAGCAGCACCTACTTGTTGATTTAAAGGAAACGGGTTGCCAGGTCCACAGAATTAGGCAACTTTTGAAGTATTGCTACTGGTTGAAATGTTTGTCTTTGTATAATTGCATACAGTTTATTATTGCAAATAAAAAATAGGTCTGTGAGGGTGGTGACTAGTTGACTGATGCACAAACTTTTTGTTTTCTCTTATCTTTTTCTTCTTCCATCTTGCCTAGATGACATGATATCAAATTACTGCAGTATTGGCTTATCTTATTTCAGCTGAAACACCATATCATGTTAATGCACGACCAATCACAGGTTTTAATATCTTGGCTCATTTGTGTGTACTGTGTATTGTGAGTAGCGATGCTTTTAAAAGGTTGTGAACCAACATAATTATGTGCATCAGCTAAAATAAAATAGACAAAAATGCAAGAAGTTACACAGCCTATTTACACTTGGAATCAATATAGGTTTATGATTTAAACATAGTGAAGCAACATGACGAAGGTGTTTAAATAAGGTATTGCAAATGCATATATATATATATACTGTATAAACAGTACATTCATGTTATCCAGACAGGGTGGAGGAGGAGAAGACAAACTAACAGTTTAGTTTGTGCATCTGTTAATTGGTCCTCACATTTACAGAGCTATATATTATTCAAGATACTGTCTATAATTATACAAGGACAATTAAGGACCTAGGTTGAGGAAGTGTTTCAGGTAAATTGCTTTTATTTATGCTTTTTTGTACATACAACACAATGATAGAAATGCAGTATGGTGGTAAATCTCCACATATATATACCGTATATACATACATGCATATATTGAGTTCTGGTATTGGGTTGTTTTGTCACGCAGACTATGTTACCCTGACCACCTCCTCATTTGGATGTTAAATAATCTTCGCACCTGTCAAAACAATTGTCTGAGTCACTGAACTCTCGAATATTGATGCCAAATTAAAAAGATATAAAAAGTTAACAGTAAATAAAAATGTTGTTTTGTCCATGACAGTAACCAAAGGCTGATGACTTTCTCCCTTCACACACCTACAATAGTTTTCCTCAGCACATAAACTATTGCGAATCATTAACAATGCTGTTGTGAAAAAGTTGAAGTGACCTGTTCTTTTTATCAGACAATACCCACAATCCCTCCCTTCATTTTTACAGAAAAAAGTAACCATGTCAAACCTTACAGTAGGACATATTTTCAAATTTAATACATTTTAGTGTATGCTTAATCTGAATTACATCTTTAATAAAGTTTTGTACATTTGAACCCAAATTATTTCAGTGCTTTGAATGTTTGTCAATTAACCAGTTTCTACATGAGGCATGAGGGATCATCACTGTATCTGGTTTAAGTTGTTTCATGAAGTGTTTGTTAAGGAGCATGGTTTCAGATGTATGCAGTAAAGCAGAATTATTTGTGTGTAACAAAAAAATAAATAAATAAAGGATCAATTTCTTTAAAGCGAAACCATTTTATTGGTGGAGTAAATATTTTTGCTCGGTAACATCTACTCACAGCAGGCATGGTGACAGTATTTCCTCCCAGTTCATTCAGCACAGACATCCCCACTATTTCAGACTGTACATGAAAATATAGTGAATTTTGTTGAAAGTTTGACATTTGTAAAATATAGATAAGCCACAGTACAGTATGTACACAAACCTTAGTTGCTAAAACAAAGTCATGTTTGAAAAGGTAAGGGACATGATACAATGAATGAGGACCGAGGTGACGATCCTACTGCTAAAACAAGAAGAGGAAACACTGTGACAGATCTTGAGATTTACCCAGATGCCATTTTAAGTTAAGACAGTGCAAATCACAGCTGCTGTTTGTTTTCCACTGACTAAACGCCCCCTTTTCACTTCATGTTAGCCACAAATTCCTCGCCCTTCTTGATTGAACCCTTCAGCTCGTCCATGGCGTCGACGACCAGCTTCTCCTCGAAGGCGGACAGCTTGCCCAGTCCAAGGTTCTTCTCAATGCCGTTCTTCCCCAGGAGGAGAGGTGTGGAGAAGTACTTGCACTCAGTTTCCTCGGATCTGACATAGGCGCACTCCACAACACCCTCCTTTCCATTCATGGCATCCAGGACGGAGAAGGTGAAGCGGGCACCTGCGTAGGCCATGGAGAGTGTGGCAGATCCGGCTCCAGCCTTGGCCTTCACCACCTCTGTGCCAGCCTCCTGGATCCTGGCTGTCAGGGCAGCCAGCTGATCAGCTGGGAACTCTACTTTGGGTGTGCACTGGGAGATCAGGGGGATGATGGTCTTTCCTGCGTGACCTCCAATGACTGGAACATTGACGCGGGCCGGGTCAAGGCCTTTAAGCTCTGCCACGAAGGCGTTGGCTCTGACAATGTCCAGGGTGGTGACACCAAACACTCTGTTGGGGTTGTAGACGCCATGCTTCTTCATGATCTCTGATGTAATGGGGATGGTGGAGTTGACGGGGTTGGCGATGATGCACACCATGGCCTCGGGGCAGTTACGGGCGCAGGCGTCGGCCAAGGTGGCTACGATGGTGGCGTTGGTGTTGAAAAGGTCGTCGCGGGTCATGCCGGGTTTCCTTGGCACGCCGGCGGGGATCACCACGACGTCGCAGCCCTGCAGGGCAGCATCCAGCTGGTCGGGACCCATGTGGCCGGTTACGTGGGCCCGGGTCTCGATGTGGCTGAGGTCGGCGGCCACCCCGGGTGTGTGGGCGATATCAAAGAGGGAGAGCTGGCTCACCAGTGGGCTGTTCTTGAGTAGCAGGGACAGCGGCTGGCCTATTCCGCCCGACGCTCCTAGCACCGCCACCTTGGCGTTGTTCTGGGACGAGGTGGACAAGCTCCGGGCCAGGCCGACGGCGGGTCTCACTGCGCGGGAAAACATGTTGTTTCTGCTCCTGCTTTACTGACTTCGACGAAAATGGAATCTGTGCTGAGAGCTGCTCTCCTCTGTGACACCAACGTCCTCTAGCCACGAGCGAACAGGAAGACGCGTGAACTGTCATGCGTAGAAAATAAAGGTCGTACGAGTTTTACGTCACACCTGCGTCACTGCGCAGCGTCACGTCGTCGCCGTCTTTATCCCAGCTCCTTTTCTCGCGGAGGAAAACAAAAGCCAGCTAACAGTGGAAGTGGGCGAATTAGCATCGGAGATTAGCCCCCGGCACACGGAGTGCGGCTGTAGAGCAGCTCGGTGAAATTCCACGGTACGTGTCCGCAGTTTGTGACGTCCCCCCCTCGCTGTTATGCTAAAATACGCTAGCGCCATCATTTGAACCCCGTCTATTTGCTGGAGTGAGCGCTTCCCCTTAGCCTAGCTAGCGTTAGCTACAACATGTCTCATTGTGCTGGAGAATCCACCCTCTGTGCTCCGTGACCGGGGTCTGTATTCGTAACGCTAACGACAAACGCCTTGTTTTTGTGTTTTTCTTTAGCAGCTAGCTAACGTTAGCTAAATAAGTTGCTGTCACCAGTGGTGTGAACACCGTTAGCTGTGTCCATCACTAGCCCTGTCATTAGGCCTGATGGGTTAGCTCAAACTTACAGTTAGCTGTGGTCAGTAAACAGAGCAGCCCTTTGTTCCACACATTAGAATACCTTCTTGTGATTCAGTTACTGCTAACATGCAGCTAATCCGTTTTAACATCAGGCTTAAAGTGCTAACTGTCACATGATGTAAATCGGTTGTTCGCCATTAATGTTTATGTAATGGATAAGTGGATGTGTGCTTTCACGGATGTTCTTTTGTTCAGCACAGAATGTAAACAACAGTATTTTCACCTTGTCCTTTGACAGTGTCGAGTTTGAAGGTTCCCCATTAGATCTCCTAATGATACATCAGCACTAAGGCGACTTTCAGTAAGTATCAAGTACCATCATCCTTGTTTGTCTTAAATTACATACAGATTAAATGTGATCATAACATCAGCAGGAAGAGTAAAGAAATAGAAGTTTAAAAAAAATACAGAAGTACTGAAATAATAGTTGTAATAATAATAATAATAATAGAGAAAAAAGGCAGTTAATAACCTGGAACCCAAATAAATTCAGGAATATGTGATCCGGAAAAAAAATTACGTAGCCAAGACTTAAATGAAGCTATAGTTTCAGACAGTCTTTCTTCCTCAGGCAATTCATTCAGGGGCTCTAAACTATGATCCTCGCAGGTAAGTACAAGAATGTGACATAAACTGGGTATAGTTGTTGAGTTAAAGCAGAGTGAAAGCGATGCTAGCAAGAGCAGCAGGCACAAGGAGCGGCATAAACAGTAACTCAAGATCCTGGGATTCAATTGGTGAGGTATAATATCTTGCTAAGCTAGGATCTTACCTTTTCAAGTATAAGAATGAATGTAAAGTGTAGAGTTAAGACAGTGCCTTTTTAAAGGTCACAACAAAACTACCACCACAATAATAATGATAATCTTAAAAAGTATTTTGTTTATTATTATTTTAAGAATAATGCTGATTTAAAAAATGATAATAGTTCAAACATTCCCACAATAACCATTATGTACAATTGTTCCCTTTCCTCAGTACTTGCTAAGGATGGCTAGCTGTGGGGAGGTAGACCACTCTGTGAGCTCGCTTCCATCCAGTAAGAAAGGCAGCAACAGTGGTGGTGGAAGCGGTAACAGCGCAGATTCCTCATGCTCTGGTTCCAGCACTTCATCCCCAGCCCTTCCTGTACCAGAGTGTGCCATCTGTCTGCAGAGCTGCGTCCACCCAGTCCAGCTGCCATGCCATCACGTCTTCTGTTTCCTGTGTGTGAAGGGAGCATCCTGGCAGAGCAAACGCTGTGCGCTCTGCAGACAGGAAGTACCTGATGACTTCCTGGAACGGCCTACACTGCTCTCTCCTGAGGAGCTGAAAGCATCAGCGGGAGGTCGAGGTGGCACAGCGAGCGATCATGCCTGGTATTATGAGGGCCGTAACGGTTGGTGGCAGTATGACGAGCGAACCAGCCGTGAGCTGGAGGACGCTTTCTCCAAGGGCAAGAAAACAGCTGAAATGCTAATTGCTGGTTTTTTGTATGTAGCTGACTTGGAGAACATGGTGCAGTACAGGCGCAATGAGCATGGTCGTAGACGGAAGATGAAAAGGGACGTTTTGGATATCCCAAAGAAGGGTGTGGCTGGACTGCGTTTGGACACTGAAGGTGTTACAGGAGCTATTGGGGCAGCAGGTCGAGAAAACTCTGCTGATGGGGCTGATACCACAGTAGCAGGTGTACAACAGCCGGTTACAGTTATCTCCTCTACTTTAACTGCCCCGCCAGCCAGACCTCCCACCTCCCTTGGAGGTCAGCCTGGTACCAGCACCAGCCCCTCTCTGGAGGATGCCCTCTCCCAGCTGCAAATCAGTCCCAGGCCCACACCCTCTCATGAGCGGTCTGAGCCTGGGGAAGGAGAGGAGGAAGATGAGGAGGAGGAGGCCTCACCCTCCAGGTCCTCTGATCCTCACACATCTGTGGACGAGTCTGGCTCCGGAGACTGGAGCGATGATGAGGAAGAGGAGGAGGAGGATGAAGAAGAGGAAGGGGGAGATGGAGAGCGTGCAGAGCCCTGGGAGGACAGGCCGCAGAGGCAAAGACTGAATCCAGAGGACAGAGCCCTTCCTGGCGCAGAGTCTTCCTCTCTCTCGTCAGGTAGCAACGGAAGGTCCAGAATGCCTGATGGCCAGTGTACAGTGACTGAAGTGTGAAGTCTTCACTGTAACTGTTCCATTCCACTAATTTATTCCTGGCTTTATGTCATCCTTCACTAAGTCACAGATTGGATGTGGGTGATTACTGGGCACAGAAAAATGTACTCTCTCAAAAACAAACATGATCATGTTTTTAGGTAAACAACACCATTTTAGCAGGCAAACATTTTGGCTCACAAAGATCTGAATGCATCTGTATGAGTTGTTTGTAAATCTCATCTCATGTTTACCCAGCCAGTAGAAGCAATGTTGGGTTTCACTTTCAAGCACTGATCATTGTACTGAGACGAGCTACAGCTTGGTAAACATGCAGATGAAGACAGCATGTTGTTTTGAACCAAACGTAGGTGTAACAGACTTACTGGGGTGTTCAGCTGCCATCACTCAGGCTGCTCACTTTAAACCATTTGGATGTAGGCATATCAGGTCCATCTTACATCCCATACAAGTGGAGGTATAAAGATTAAAGTAATGCAACAAACTCGATAGTGTTGTGGTTAAATATATGATCTAACACCCAGAAGGCTTGTGAAAGTCCCACCCTGATCTGTGACGTGCAGTGAAAGAAGGTATAAATGGGGATGTTACTTATGATAATGGAGCTGTGTCATTTTGCATTGTCGTGAACGGCTGCATCCTAATCATCTACACTTTTAACTCTCTCCGCTAACGTAGCACGCAGGAACAGGCTTGTTGGAGCTCAAGGTCATCTGACTAGTCTCCAAAAGAAGTTAATCCCTGATGAATTGTTTCCAACCTCTGCCTAAATAACTTCCTTACTCCAGATTTAACTGATTATGAAGTATGTTCCTCGAAGTTCTCAACTATTAACAAAGTTTATCATTTCAGAGCAGATTGTAGTTTGATGGTTGAAGAAAGGAAACAGAAGTACTTGATGATGCTCTTAAGCTACATAAGTACTTAAATGTCACACATCATGTAAGTCACAGAGATTATGTATGGCTGGCTGTCCCGGGTTCATCCTCAATGTCAGTTCATCTGCAGTTTTGTGAAAGTCTAAAATCTGTAAAGATGATGACCCGTTTTAATTGAATGTGCATAATATCATACTTTTTTTAATTTTTTTAACTTTCCCCAGTTTTAAGTAATTGGCATTTCAGTGTGAATTATCAGTGTTTTTCTTTATGAAGCTCTGATCCTCATTAGTATTCTCATGGTCCCTGACTAAAAGTATTCTCAATTGGTGTTTCTAAAGTTTGGTGATTTGTGTGTGTTTGAAGAGAGAGTTATTTAAACACTATTGGTCAACAGGATGTTGCAAATTGAAATTTTTTGGATTCAGTTTTAGTAAATGTTTTAAAATGACGTCAGAGGCATTTAGGAAAACAAAAACATGCTCTTGGCCGTCCGGCAGAAATTTCAAGTTATGTTATTTTCATATTTCTTACTTGCTTACATCATCAGCTTTTAGACTTTCCACCCTGAGAAATAAAGTTTGTGTAACAGTTTTTTTGCTTGGCAACTCTTTTTTTTGTTACCTGGTTTGTAATTTAAGAATAAATTGTGTCATTTCATCATCCTAAAAAGATTTTGCTCTTTGTTTTTTTGTTTTCTTACCGTGTGAAAAGCTGCATGTCAGTTTAGTTTTATTTAAGAATATATACGTTTTAAGTGTTACATAGGCCGGACTTCTACATTTTTCTCTGTAATGATTCTCAATTGGAACAACTCAGTCTAACCACTGGATGAGGGAGTGAAGTATATCATATATAAATACAATTATTTCACAAATTGGGATCAATAAAGTACATCTATTTATCAAATAACAAAGCACTTGATTAGGCACATGACACATGGACAAAAAGACCTTGCTTTTGCTAAGAAAGAAATACATGAGGAAAATAATGTGACATGGGAAGAAGCTTTCACAGCTTCTTCTTTGTTTGTTGGAGACTATGAGTTTTAAATTCTTAATGGTGCCAGTTCTTGCCTCCCCCTCACTCACCTTGTGCGGGTTTAGTATTCAGACCACAGCAGCCATTAGCTCTCCAGCTGGAAACATGACCTCTGGAGGGGGAACAGGAAGTAAAGGCCCTGTCCTGTTCTTGTCAACTCCATTTGTGCACGTTAGTGCTTCTGCAGTGCCTCATTTGCTGTAATGGAAAATAACCTACACATTATTGCTATACTTTATAAAGAATAATGTTTTTATTATGCCCTGTGTTTTAGCATTTGTCAAAGAATAGATGAGAGCCACTGTGCAGACAATCTTCTGAGTAATGTTCCTCCCTACAGCTGAGAATCTCCCTTTAGAAGAGAAACAAGCACAGTGGGGATGACTCGTGGGCACAGAGGAACTGCTGAACCAACATATAAAACTTGAGATAAAGTGGACATAAGTGCAGCAGTATGACTCTTCATCCTGCAGAAAGAAGCTGCTGCCTCATGCTTGTTATGCTTCATCAGTATCTACAGTATCTATCCGCTGCTGCTGCTGCTGCTGCTCTCTTTCTGCTTCAGTCCGGCTCCGCCTGGCGTGATATAATCATCGCAGGATCATATTTCTCAGCGGGACTGGAGGTAAGACAGCTCGACTGATGGGGACAGACAGGATTTAGAAGACGGGGAATGTCCTTCACTGTAGGTCCTTCTTTTCATCCATAACAAAAAAATACACTACGCTATATTACACTACAGCCATGAAAGGATTCAGCATATTCTGTGGAAATATGTTTATTTAGGGGTCAAATCTAAACAAAATAAGTCCTTATCAGTCTATGCAGAATCAAAGAAACAAGATTTGAATACTCATTTCTCAGCTCATGCACTTATCAATTCATAATAAGCTGTCCCACCAACAACAGAGGTAGTACCGAATGTAATTTAATTTTTTTAATGTTTATTTTCCTTTTTCCACAAATCATTATTATCTGTTTCTACCTTCACATAGCACACTCAGCTCAGTCATGTCAATTCAGTCTCTCTCCAGAGATGCTGTAGCAGGTATCTCTGTGACGTCCGGGATTCATCAAGAATATCTGCTCTTCTGAGATGCTGTAAATATACAGAGGAAACACTTTGACCAATTCATTTGTGTTTGGATTTGCTGGCCAGCGCCTGCAGGTTTGCCGGACCCCCCCACACTGTCCCAAATACGTCCTTCTCAGTCCTCAGAGCCTCAGACAGAGGGAGCTCTCTCCCTGACAACACCACCTTCTTCACAGCCTGAATCACAGCAGCAGGTCCTTTTACATAACTACCGAGCCACTTCTCTGCCTGCTGGAGGGGAGTCCCTGCCCCCTCCTCTGCCCGGGGGTCCTCCAGGACTCCATCTGCCAGTCCAATCTGCAGTCCAAGTTCCGGGTCCACTTTCAGAGCGCCACCAAGCAGCTTTAGTGCATTCTGGCTTCCAACAATGTGGACAAGTCGTGCGGCGCCGCCCCAGCCCGGGACCAGTCCCATGTGTTTATGGACAAACTGGATGACGCTGCCGGAGGCCATTAATCTTGAGTGATTACATATAAATGAATTCAAGTTATTTTCAATCTTTGGATGTAAAGTTTAGAGTAAAACACATTTAATAGTGTTTTTTATCCACTTGTTTAAAGATCATTACCTGAAATCACAGGCAGTGGTGAACTCTGCGCCTCCTCCCAGCGCTCTCCCCTCCACCAGAGCAACAGTGATCAGAGGCAGCCTGTGCTGAGAAAACTATTCTGTCACCATACTGAGCTGCATATTACACAACAGATAAACTCCACACTGGTTGCTGCTGCTTTTGGTGTCATGTATATAAATTAATTAGACCAGTACACCAGAGGAAAACAAGAGCCTTTACCTGAGCAGCCTTGTAAGAGCATTCTGCATGAACATACACATCTTTATCCCATCCTACGAGACAAAAGATAAGATTAAACCTGCAAGCAGCATTGGACAGGCCCCTGCACCCCCGTATGTCGGGGGGAACAGGTCGGATGCAGGTTGACACAGCTATGTGCTGAAGCGAACACTGCACAAATGAGTAAGAGCATGCACCAAATAAGGATTTAGTTGCCATGTATAACATGGAGACTGTTATGTATACATATATACTGGTACGTGGATGACTTCAGGCCGAGACTCGTCAAACATGAGATGATATGAGATAAGAATAGATAAGATGGACTCCATAGAAGAAATTCACAATAAAAAAGAGAAGACAAGAGATGAGATGATAATGAATAAAATTTAAGTCCCACAATTATTTGTACTTTGCCATAATTCAAGAAAACCCAAGAAAAGTCAGGTTATCTCTCAAACCACAGACAGCTGGTATCCATAGTCTTTCCTACAGCCAAACTGAGTGTACTGAGTTCATTTCAGTGTTTGTAGACAATCAGTAATAAGTTCCATGTTGGACTACTTTGTAACTACAACACACAGAGACATAACAGGCAACAACATTTCTCTTGAAGAAAAAAAAAAGTAAAGCACAATAGAAGTAGCTTTAAATGAACTTTAACATATTTAAGACAAACCTAAAAGTTATTAAGATCTAGTACGTAATTATATTAATGTATTAAAGACATCTTAAGACCCAAGATTCAGATAAATACATTTTAGATATGTTAGACTTTTTAAGACAACCCTGAAATGAGATCGAAACAGTGGTAGTATATACAATAACAATACACAATGACTTATTCTATATATGAATAATATATCAGTAAAATACTAACTGTTCATATACTGGGGCAATATTTATCCTGTAAAGTGTCTGTGAGCATTGTTAAAAGTGCTATAAAAATATTATGTATTAATAATATTAATTATTAAAATGTCACATCCAGTGATCATCATCAAATTTGAGATATGGTCTTGTAAGATAGGACTGTGGCATACATCATGCAGGAGGAGAGTTGCTGTGTGGTATTTCTTTTACTTTCCTACCTGTGGGTTAGATATGGCTCTGACAGCACTGAGGTCTGATCCGGAGCAGAAAGTTCCAGCAGCACCCTGGACAATGAGGCCTTTTCCATCTGTCCAGTTCTCCAGCTGGCTCACTTGTTCCTCCAACTCCACCATCATACTGCCTGAGGGGAGGAAGCCAGAGCTCTGTGTAAGCAAGGCAACAAACCGGGACGCACTGTAATTTACCAGA